TCCCATTCACTAAAGCTTGCTTCGTATTTAAATTTTGAATTAACAAAACCACCGCATTAATTTTGAGCTCCAACTTATGTGGTGGTAAACCACTTACAATCAAAGTATTTAAAAATTCTATTGGATAGTTGCTCACCTCGCTGTTATCCCCACAAATAATTGTGTCAAAACTGTGATAAACTTTTTTTTTACCAACAATGCGATTCAATATATCGTTATTGGTAAGTCCACAATCTTCATCAGTTAGAGCTAACACAACTGACTTCAACATTCTATCTGATAAAATGGTTTCATTAATACCTCCAAAAATGTCTTGTATTATGTTATATTCAACACTTATCAAATTCACTGGAATTTCAACTCAATCTTTACCAAACGATCTGAAATTAGATTCACCATTTCCAATTCTCTTTAGAAATTGAACGAATTCTGGTTCTTCGGGCGTTGCTCTCATATTTTGAGTTAACGTTATATGATTGAAAAACGGAAACTCTGCCCAACTCGTAATACAATTTGCAATCATTACTGATAGCGATACATGAGGAATAACGGGAAATATTTGTCTAAAATCTCCACATAATAATATAGTTTTTTCAGCAAAAATCATTTGTTTTTTTTATGAATCGTCGCATAAGACTTTCAACAACGTATCAATACATTCCACCACTTGTAACGGACACATCGAAATTTTATTAATGAATAATGCCGCCGAATTAATAAATCTGGCATAACTACTATTTTTTTAATATTTGGTACTGTATTTTTCATCAGATTTATGCAATTCCACTAAATGCACACGAAATACATTGAAGATTAGGAGAATTCAATTTACGAATTATACCCGTTTGTGTGCATATTTTCCCACAACCTACATCGGTTGTCAAACAAAACACATTTGATCCTGTGTCGTGATACTGAACTTCACGAATAACTTTATCAATAGCATCATGCTATTCATTATTTGCGCTATCATAAATCTCATTAAATAAACATGTAACATTATGTGTTAACAAAATATCCGCGATTTCCAATAATACTCTATTGAAAGATACATCTACACTACAATCATCTCTAACGAAATCTTCGCTTAAATTATCTGTAAATTCCACCCAAAGCGCTAATGCATTTGCTGGAATATTTAAGGCACAAATAATCGCAAACAAATTACGCATTTGTTTTGCTGAATTAAATGTCTTAGCTTCATTCAGACAAACTCTCCACTCATTATCGTTGGACGCAATTCCCCTAGCATGACATGCTTCGATAAATGTACTATAAACAATTTCATTGTATGTACGTACATTTCATATAATTTTGGCCCTTTTATGGAATGGAATAGTTCAATTTCTTTGGTTATCTCATCTTAGTTAAAATCTGTTCGGTTACGTTTATATGCGCAACATATATTGCACCAATAAATTTTTAAAATTAATACATAATTTATCAGCTATCAGACAAACCACAATAAAACGCTTTTATTTAGAAATTAGAAGCAGATATTTCGTCCTTTATTTTAGAACATCTTCAGTGATAATTATACAAAAAAAAAAAACAAAAAAAAATTACAAAAAAAAACTTTTTAAGAATTACACATTGCAATTAAAATAATACCTTAATTTTTAATAAAAAGCTTAATTTAAAGTTTATGACTTTCAAATTAAAACAATATATACGAAAAATTAACATATACATAAAAAATGACACTATTGAACTTGTTGAATATTTGTTTATATTATATTATATTATTATATATGAATATTTTGTTTTTATTAATTTTGTATGAATAATTTGTTATTTTTATTTGTATTGTAATAATTGTGTTAAATATATTTGGTGTAAAAAATAACGTTGTCAATGCAATGCCCAAAATACGTCATATGCTTCTGTTGGCACATGAAAACAAAAGCGTCAAATTTCGTCTGCAAGAAAATGCACTCTTGCAGTTTGCAATAAGTTCATTGTTTGGCATGCATTGTCAAGGTTATTTTAGTTAATTTATTTGTTGTAAATTAATTATCAATTTTAAATAAAAGGCACAATTGAATTTTTGACAATTCAATTGATGCGAAGCCACATTCGTTATCGATTCTTTTTTGTTCGTTCTAATAGCTTGTAGAGTTGGTTCAAGTACCAAATTTACACCATATAAGCACCTGCCTACTGGATTCAAGTCTACAGTAATCAGGATAATTTAGGACAATCGTCAAATTACTGGGTTCAAGTGCTCAGTGGTTCTCGTGTTCAAATAAGTCAACATAAGTACTGGATTTAAGAGTTCAGTACTTGCAAACAGTTGATTTCAACTTTTGATTCAGCGTGTGATCATACATTTTGGTGTGATCGTACATTTTGGTGACCCCGACGTGATCCACCGTACAGAACTCAAAAACATAAAATGAACAATAATTAGTTCGATTCGAATGGGAAAGAAAGGCAAAGACAAACATTTTTTTTTATTTTAATTTATTGAAATTTGGCTGACCATACAACGCTGTTTCGAGTATTGCCAAGTACTCTTCATCAGTGGTCTTTGGAAATAATCGAATTTTATTTAATTAGTTTATAGTCCGTATATAATTTGTTAGGACTGCAAGTGCCAGGCTTAGAACTCGTGCCTGTCAAATTAGAAGCGATGACTAATCGTGTTTATCCACAAGAAGCCAAGGCTGCACAAACTTTCAATGCTCAAGTTCCAGGTTTTATTGTTACTTATTTTTATTTAATTAGTGACACTAACCAAAGCACTTGCCGTGCTTTAAATTAGAACGAGCTTATAAACTACAGCTTTATTTGGAAACACAAGTTCAACGAATTGAAAGTTAATCTTTGAGCTTGCCTATTTTTGTTTCAAATCTATTATTTTTGTAGAGACATCTGTTATGCATATTTTTTTTTTAACTTACTATATGTAAAGCGCCTTTTTTGGGTGCAATTTTACAAAGAAGCTATTACAAATGTACTTGTTAACATAACTCCAACAAGTCCGATCCTTGATTGAACTCAGTTAACAAATTAAAACAATTTAAAACATTATACAATTGTCTATTTTTACTAGGATTTAATTAAAATTAAAATCAATACCGCATTTGAAATTATAGGTTTATTATTATAGGTTTATTATATAATCTAATATAAGCATCTGATAAAGCTTTTATATATCAAAACTGTTACTAAAGAGCCGTTTCTTTATATATTAATTGTAAGAGAAAAATATTGGTGCTGTTAAAAAACAAGTTTAATTTAAGTTTTATTAATTACTACAAAATAATTAGTTTTATTTTTTGTTTCTTTTTTTTGAGCTTTTTTTCATAGAAGTTTATCTCCAACTATTGAATTAGGAGCTTCATGACCACCTATAGGAATTTCCCCTTTTAACCCATTTCAAATTCCATTATTAAATATTGTTATTTTATTAGCTTCAGGAGCTACTGTAACATGAGCTCATCATAGATTAATAGAAAATAACCATTCACAAACTTCTCAAGGGTTATTTTTTACTATTTTACTAGGAATTTATTTTACAATTTTACAAGCTTTTGAATATATCGAAGCACCATTTACAATTGCTGACTCTGTTTATGGATCAACATTTTTTATAGCAACAGGATTCCATGGAATCCATGTTTTAATTGGAACAACTTTTTTATTAATTTGTTTGATTCGTCATTTAAATTATCATTTTTCCAAAAATCATCATTTTGGATTTGAAGCAGCTGCTTGATACTGGCATTTTGTTGATATTGTTTGGTTATTTCTCTATATTTCTATTTACTGATGAGGAGGATAATTAAATTTACTATTTATCTAAATAATATAAAAAGTATATATGACTTCCAATCATAAAGTCTATAAAACTATAGATTAGATAATTTTATTATTAACAATTATAACAATAATTATTTTAACAATTTGTTCTATTGTAATATTTTTAGCCTCAATTTTATCAAAAAAAATACTTAATGACCGAGAAAAAAATTCCCCCTTTGAATGTGGATTTGACCCAAAATCTTCTTGACGAATTCCTTTTTCACTTCATTTTTTTTTAATTACAATTATTTTTTTAATTTTCGATGTTGAAATTGCATTAATTTTACCTATAATTATAATTTTAAATTTTTCTAATTTATTTATATGAAGAATAACTTCAATTATTTTTTTACTTATTTTATTAATTGGAGTATACCATGAATGAAATCAAGGTATATTAAATTGATCTAATTAAATGGAAAATTTATTTAAGGATTGTAGTTAAATTTAACACATTTGATTTGCATTCAAAAAATATTATTTTATGTAATCTATCTTATAAAGAATATGAAGTGATACATCACATTTAGTTTCGACCTAAAAATTAGGTAAATTACCCTTATTCTTAATATTAATTGAAACCAAAATAGAGGTTTATTACTGTTAATAATAAAATTGAATAAAATTCCAATTAAAGAAATATGATGAACAAAAAAAAGCTGCTAACTTTTATTTTTAATGGTTAAATTCCATTTATATTTCTATATTTATTTATTAGTTTAACAAAAACATTATATTTTCATTGTAAAAATAAATATTTGTATTTATAAATTACTAATTTTAATTCATTAAATATTTAAAGATAAATTAATCTCCCTTACAACTTCAACGTAATACACTAATTATAAGCTATTTAAATACCAAATAACAAAAAATATTAATACAAAAAAAAATAAACTTATTAATATTATAATTAAACTATTATTCTGCAAAATTTGGTTAAATTTTGAATAACCCAATAAATTTTTATATAAATGGAAAACCTGAAAACATAAAAAATAGTATATATAGTGTGTGTGAAATAATAAACAATATGAATAAAACAAGCAACAAAAATAAGTTCTGGACTTGGGTTAGTACGGCAAATAAGTATTAGTTTAAAATTAAATAAAGTTTAAAATTACCAAATGTTTTTTTTTCAGAAATAAACAAAGAAGTTCTGGCCATTCATGTCCAGAATAGTCATAAAAATAGTTCAAATTTTTTCAAAGATAATTTTTGCATGAGTTTGGACTGTATGAATTCAGTGCAAGCACTGAAGAAAATGAACACAAACTTTCGGATTGCAATTTCTTTAGAAATGAGAATTGCCATTGCGCTGTATTGCGTTGATTCGTCGCCTGAATACAGAAGCGTATCAAATCTCTTTGCCATTGGTAAGTCAATCATTGGTAAGTCAACTGCGCGTTTGCTTAAAATTATTTTGTCAGGAGGTGTGGAAAATTTTTTTACTATTGTACATGAATGGATTCCCATTAACAAGTGACAAGGTGAATGAGGCCATCACAGGATTTGATGCTTTTGAGTTTATATAACCAAAACAATATTAATTACAAACAATACTAAAAGATAGAAGCCACATTAAAACAAAACCCGAATCTTAGAATGCTGATCACTACTATAAGAGATGGTACTCGACCATTCTATTTGCTCTTCTATTTTATAGGTAAGTAGTTCATGCGTAAATAAATAATTAAAATTTAAGTGTGCATATATATTTTGCTATTTTACAGATACCGTATTCTTAACATACATGTTGCCTATCCGGGAAGATCTAATGACTTTCATTTTTGAATACTCATTACTAAAGAGTCAAAAAATTAAATATATAATTAATATATTAAATCATTTATATATACATAATTTTGTACATATTTACTACATATTCAATTAATAAAAATAAGGATTTTATTCAATACATACTTTCTTTTAAATTTTCACATTTGTCAAAAATTTCAAATTTGGTCATTTCCGTTTTGGGAAATTTATTTCTAAAAGTTGTATTTTAAATTTTTTGTCTTAAATCAGTTGATTTATTTACAATTAGTTCATTTATATAAAATCAATTTGTGTTGTATATTGTTCCCATTAGAGGCTTTAATAAGTAAATCAGCCCAAATGTGGAACTGTAAAAATAATTTTAAATATCTTACTTATGTAAGAAAACAGGAAAATTTTTGACCCTCTTGTCTCTATTTTCTTTTTGGGTATTTGTATTATTTGAATTGTTTTCCATTTCCTTGGGAAATAGATATTTTTAGCAGATTATTAAATATTATGCAGCATTCTGCTAATAATATAAGGTCAATATAACTAATATTCATCTAAAAAATGTTTGGTTTAAAAAACACAGGAACATGTTTGTGGCGGGTACTTGATTTACGGCATAATTAACTTGAGCGATATTCGAACATCTCGTTCAAACATATGAATAGTTGAAAAATTAAATATAATTATTGTAAATAAGTACCAGAAATAAAGTAATACTTCCTTCTAGAGTGTAGAAAACAAACTACACATATTTTTCAGTTCGTCGTTGTAATAAAGTAATACTTTGTGTTATATACATCAAAATTCTTTGCAGTTCTCGAATTTGTATATAGTTGAGAGTTTTCATAGATGTGGGCCAAAATGTTAACATGAAAGTACACAAGTCATTGTATTTTTAGTTGCTGTACTCAATAAACTGATGATTAAAACTAAACTGTCCATCTCTGGCATCTATATGGGTTATAACAAAACTAAAATAACAAACTAGGAAAGAAGTTACGTTCAGCAATTTAATTTATTTAGTGTTGTCCTTCTTTAAGTTAATTTAGTTGCCTTTTTTACAATTTGAGTTCGTTGACTTAACTCAATATTCAACAAGTCCGAAAAGGGGTTATCCATTTATGGCTCCTAATTTAACAGCTCCGTTTTAGTTACATATTTCAAACAAATCTGTCATTTAAGGCAGATATACGACTTTTCATTTTAAAATATAATTACATTCATTTCATACCTTTCATTTTATAAAACATATTACATATTATTTAGGTTTTTAGTTAAATCAACCATATCCGAATCTCAGCAAAGTATTCAACTGAATTGTTATTCATATATTGTCGTATATTAATTTTTAGATACTTAAACATCCTTAACTACAATGTATTTCGTGTTTTTGTGTTTTAATGGTTTGTATTAAATTTTTGAAAACGACTGCTATTACCTCTTCATAAAACGTCATTTATCTAGAAGTTTTTGTAATTTCTCAAGCTAAGAAATCCCTTCCTGAAAATAGTGGACATTAAAACAAAGCATGTTTCTGGGAAATATGTTAGGAAATTTTCTAATAAAATAAAATTTTTTTTGACCTTAATAATTATTAAAATTAATATAAACATTTATAAAAATTTTTATTAGATACGAGATAACAACATGTATTCAGTTGGCTTGTGTCATTCAGCAGATTTGGTTACTAATTGCTAACGTTTGCCATGGTTTGTTAGCTGGCCTTGCATTGGCTCACTTACTTTTTGTGCTTGGTACTATGCATATGGATTGGTCTAACACTATAAGTCAGTTAAATATTATAGAAGAAACTGCACATATAAAAGGTTTCCACATATTAAGTAATGATGATGGTTCTAGCAACAGATCAACAATATTCTCCAACACAGAAAATACAAAGGCAGTACTAATAATTGGTGACTATGCTGCGTTTGCCGACATATATTTAAATACATTTTATTGTTTAGCAATTCCTTGCTTGATTTCTATATTTGATCGGTAAGTTTACTTAATTTGTAGAAATAAGTTATATACAGTGCCGAACATAATTATTGGTACAGCAAGCAAATTAAACTTTAGTATTATTTTTATCCTGTTAATGACGCGATTTTTAACCAATAAAAATTTTTTTTAGATAAAATTCTTAATTTTCTTTTAAATTTATCCCAAAAGCCCATTATAACAACAAAGACAAAACTGAAGGCAGCACTGATGAAGAGTGGCAAAATATTGGACCAAAAACCACACAAAAGTTGGTTTCTTCGATTCCAAAGCAAATAGCAGCTGTTATTAAATAAAAGAGCTTAGCCATTAAATATTAATTGTTATCGATACTATTTTTTTTTAATTTGTTCTTTAATTTTGCATTAGCTATGCCAATAATTTTGCTCAGCCAAATTTAGTTTTTTTTTTGGTTTTTTAATTTTAAAAATTATATATAAAAGAAGATAAAATGAAATAAAATACACTTAAAAGGAAATTAATCATTTTATTTATTTACTTTTTTGTTAATTAAAAATCGCATCATTAACAGAATAAAAATAGTGCTAAAGTTTAATTTGCTTGCTGTACCAATAATTACGATCGGCAGTGTATGTATGTGATGTATTATATATATTAGGGTGGCCGTTATTTACGAATGTGTTCAAATTCTAGATGCCACCCCCTAAATTTATTCGAATACTCAAAAAACTACTAAATGTGAAGTTTTAGACTATTCGGATAATGTTTAGAGGTCGCTCATCGAACTTAAACTTCGGAAAAACGCCATTTTTACACTTTTTTCAAATTTCTTCGCTCCCATCTCGCGTATTTTTCACCTTTGACTATTTGTACCAAATTAATATTATTCTTTACCATATTAGCTTTCAAATAAGGTAAAAATCAATCAATTTCGTCCACAATTAACTAAATTATTACTAAAACAAGAAATCATACTAGACGTTTATTGAAGCTTTCAAGAGCAGCATAAATATGGGAGTAAATACGAGTACGTATGAGCGAAAGCACAGTTTCTTGGACACAAACTGGTACAATATAATATTTGAAGAAAATCAAATACTTCCTCATTATATATAATTGTCCACACTTGATTTGAATAATATGCACAAAATAGATTAATAAATATAATAAAAGGAAAGGAGTCCTTAAGTAAACAAAAGAAATTCTCTTAGGTGTTAAGGATGAAATAACAACTTTTTGTTACAAAGAACTACAAAAATCAATTTGCAGAGAAGACTATAAAGAACTATTGGAACTAGTTATCATCTCTTTGGGAGAAAGTTCATCACCAATATTCCGTGACCTGGACCAATGCACCATGCTCGTTGGATGTCCAAAGCCCTTTACTGTTTAAAGATATATTTATTTCGAAATGAGTTCATCTTTCGAAGAGCAAAAGCTAAAAGAAATCTGTTTGTTCATAATACATGTTTACGTAAAATATTGGTTCAAATGTGTTATAGCATCAGAAGCAGCTTACAAAGATTTTTGTTTTATAAAAGAAATGTATAATTATAGATGTATTGATAAGACAATATCTGAGCCTGCAATTAAGAAGATGTGTAACCATTTATGGTATTTATGAGATGAATGCATTGGTCTATCATTTTTTGATGACAACATTCCAATTAAAATTATAAAAAGTATGGTAAATACGTTAAAAAAAATTATATCAATGAATGTTGAAGTAGATAGTGGTGATAAAATGAAAGCCACGACAATGTGGACGATATTAAAAAAGACGGAGAAAAACGAATTCTTTTGAAGATGGAGAATGTAACCGATTTTCTATCGAAATCACTAGAGGATTTTGTGACAGCCAATACTATTAACCAGAAAAATGGAACCAACATACAGATTATGTTTACTTACTTACTTAGTTTACTTACGATTATGTTTACTTACTTACTTACAGATTATGTACACGCGTTAAAAATTGTTCACAGTATAAGACCTGTTAATGACACGGCGGAGCGAGGAGTAAAACTTTTCGAAGAATTTAATAGAGCCCTTGGTAAAAATGAGCAAAATAAACAATATTTATTGCAAGTAATAACAGATTATAGAAAGACTTTTAAAATGTATACTAAAACAGTTTTGTCAAATAATAAATAAATATAATATTTTTTTTAAATAAATTACTTAAGGACTCCTTTCCTTTTATTATATTTATTAATCTATTTTGTGCATATTATTCAAATCAAGTGTGGACAATTATATATAATGAGGAAGTATTTGATTTTCTTTAAATATTATATTGTACCATTTTGTGTCCAAGAAACTGTACTTTCGCTCATACGTACTCGTATTTACTCCCATATTTATGCTGCTCTTGAAAGCTTCAATAAACGTCTAGTATGATTTCTTGTTTTAGTAATAATTTAGTTAATTGTGGACGAAATTGATTGATTTTTACCTTATTTGAAAGCTAATATGGTAAAGAATAATATTAATTTGGTACAAATAGTCAAAGGTGAAAAATACGCGAGATGGGAGCGAAGAAATTTGAAAAAAGTGAAAAAATGGCATTTTTCCGAAGTTTAAGGTCGATGAGCGACCTCTAAACATTATCCGAATAGTCTAAAACTTCACATTTAGTAGTTTTTTGAGTATACGAATAAATTTAGGGGGTGGCATCTAAAATTCGAACACATTTTTTTGCCCCCATACATATAACGGCCACCCTAATATACATTATATATGATTGATGATTAATGATAATGTATTAGTGTTAGATAAATCATACGAAGAGTAATAAATTTTTGCAAATAGTGTATCATATTGATTGTTTTAAGTGGCATATAAAACAATATGATAGTTGTGGTTCAAAGTATGCACTGTTCTAACAGTCTTCCAGTTTTCACAGAATGAATTATGTATATATTAATATTGAAAAGAATTTAGTTAAATCTTTGCGAACGGTATTTGATGAAGGCTGATGCAAAAATTAAAAAGAAAATTAATAAAAAATGTAATATAGTCACCTTGTGATCAAAGTGTAATGCATATCGTAGGATTAGTTTTTGTTTGGCGTCTATACAAAGAAGGTAATTTGTGTGTATCGCAACCACGAGTATACGAATGGTTTAAAAGGTTCAAAGACAGTCGTACAAGACAGTCATGATGAGATCCCTGGCCGTCTGTTACTAAAACATCTGTTACTAAAGCAAACATTGAATCGGCGAAGCAGATCGTGTTGGAAAATCGTTGTGAACCGATTGCAGTATTGTTGAGCATCTCATATGGATCGGCCGAATACATTTTAACTGATGTTTTGGGTTTAAAACGCGTTGCTTCTTGGCTGGTGGCAAAAAAGCTGAATTTCATTCAAAAAAGCGTTGTTGATGTGGCCAAAGAGATGATTTCCGAAGCAGATAGTGACCCCATATTCATTGAAAGCATTATAACTGGTGATGAAACATGGGTCTATAAATTTGACATGTCAACCAAACAACAATCGACCGAATGGTGCTTCGAAGGTGAGCCGAAACCGAAAAGAGAACACCAAAGTCGGTCCAAAATCAAGGTTATGCTATTTTGTGACCGTTTTCTTCGATATTCGTGGTGTGGTGCACTATGAATTCCTTCCGGACGCGAGGAACGCGTTTTGAGACCATAGAGGACATAAAAGAGAATTCGCTGCGTGAACTAAAGGCCATACCGTCGGCAGCCTATAAAACTTGTATAGAAAATTGGATCAAGCGTAGGAATGCATGTATTGCCACAGGAGGAGAGTACTTTGGAGGCGATAAAAAAGAAAATTAAAATTAAAAAAATAAAAATTAAAATTTTGCGTTTTTTTTAAAATTCTCGTATTTTTTTAATCATAAGGTATTAAATTACAAAACTTTTTCGAAAATGTTTTTAAAAACCGGGTTGGCTTTATGATTAAGCTATGCAACAAATTGACGCAGTCTTAAAGCCATTACGGTGATTGTAAAATTTGCAAGTTAAAAGTAACAATAAATCTCAGTATTCGGTTTGTAGAAGACAATATAGAAAATAAATTCATTCAGTGTTTTCACTATTTAATAAAAACAAAAGACGCAAAAAAAAACAATTTAAACAAACTCGCGTTCTTGTTGATTAGTTTAACTCCGGTTATATTTTTCAATAAATATGCTTATTTAATTTGCGTCTTTTTATGAACACTTTAAAAGCTTTCTGAAATAAAAATTTTTCTTGTAATCTATAGCTAATTGTAAACAAAATGCAAAAGCCATATATATCCCTGATAAAAATGAGGTGTATTATTATTATTAATAGATAGGATAATGATTTACTGTTTCCGATAAGAGTTATTTTGCTATCCATAAAGAAAATATTCTAAGTAAGCGTGGACAAATGTGAGCTGTTAACGAACCTAATAAAGTCTCTTGGTTTTAGATTTCAAACCTTCTTCAATTAAATAAAAGCCGATTCAAGGTATCATACTCCCTTTCTTACAATTGCAGAACACGAGCAAATAAGATTAACTTCAGCCGAGTCCTAGAAAGGTGGTGGATAGCAGGAGTATGACGAGTTAGAAAATCAGTTATTAATCTACGTTCAGTTTTATTTACACTGAGAATGGAGTCATTGTAGCTACAGTCGCGAATTTATCAGCTGTTGGCTTATCGTTGAGATAAGATTCTTGTAGATTCTAACCGATTTGGATGCAATGGTCTGAGATTGAAGTGATTTTCAACCTGCTTAACTGTTCGAATGTATGTTAATGCTTGCGTTTTTGTAATAACTTTTCAAGCATTCTGTAGACAGATTTTGATGGCATGCTGTTCTATCTTATAAACTGGAAAATAGGTTTCTATGTGCAACTGGCATTTTCTTCGAGAATACCAGTTTATGATTAAACTGTGGATAGTCTTTAAAAAAGAGTTTTTAGCAAGGTTTTTCTGCAGTCGTGCGACCCACAGCAAGATCGTTATCTCATTGCGATGCTATCTCCAAGCAGCTTGCTTTGATTTTCTGATTGTTTATCTTGTAAGCAATTCAGTCATATTAAGGATTTGCTCCATTAATCTTTATGTGCTCGCGATATTTTTCTTACGTTGACGACAGAAGTCTACATTTGTAGCAAGCAAATGTTATATAGAAATCTATGCCAACATATAAAAAAAAAACTTTTAGACAGATTATTTAACTTTTGCACACAATTGTATATATTCAGTAAAAAAATTATTATACAAAATATATATGGAAAAGTTTAAGTAGTTTCTGAGGAATAGCATATATGTGAGATGTGCGTCATATACTGTTTTTTTGAACCAACTGCAAATCTTTCGCGTTGTTTTTCTCTTTCAAATGTTACTCTTTTAGTTGCCCGATTTGCATTTGAGTTCTTTCCAGTATAAATCTCACTGTTGTGACGACTTCGCATTATGAACGAACCAAACTTTTAGACGGAATATAATGGGTAAATCTGGTTCTATCACGATATGTAAATAGTTGATTGTCTACTATTACTTCTCCGAAAGGTTCATAGTATATGCGGAAATTGCTATTATCTGAGCCTGTAATTCAGAGATAAGAGGAATCTTGTCATTAATATCGAACTGCTCGACAGTCAAACTGAATGAATGAACAAACTGCTTCCATACTCCACCACAGAGTAATCTTGTCATTAATGTCGAACTGCTCGACAGTCAAACTGAATGAAACGTAAAATTTGTTTAAAACGGGTTTTTACATTGTTGCACAGTAACAACAAACTGCTTCCTTACTCCACCACACATCCGTATCCTCGTCCTTTGATTTAGTTACATCAGCTAGCAATAGAAGCTCTTGTGCTCTTATGTCACAAGTTATCGTATCAGTGAAACTCAATTTTTCTCCTTCTAAAATGAATAAATCACAATATTCTGAAATCAATTTCCTAATTGATTCATTCTCTTCATCATTCATATAATCTACTGTTAAACTCTTTTGTATACATTCACACCTTTCTTATTTGAAAGACTCTCTCTTTCATTAATGTTTCTTTTTTAGGATCCTTTTTAAAATTATCAACAATATTATAATCCCTAAAGTCTTCTACTTTCAACGGAAAATCAATTACAACTTTTTTCTCACATTTATTTATAATGCTTACTAAACATTTTCCATTTCCCATTGTACTAATACAATGAGGAATGACAATTTTTTCATCTTCATAACGCGGAACATACACATCTAATCCATTCTTTTTACCTTTATTAACCGTGACAGAACGAAAGACTTCCATTGTTGGCGGAACAAATTCTTCAAATTTATTACATTGGATACTATGTACATTTTTATCAACATAAAATAAGTCCTGGTCATATTCTATCTTGCACTTAAAATGGCCTAAAAAATCAGCTCCGATTATGTCATCATATCTGTAAACCAGATCATTTGGTATCACGTGAAATTTCCATTTATAATTATACGTTTTGCCTTTTATATTCTTAATTCCTATTCTAATGGATGCATTTCCTATTGTTTTTTCAGACTTTTTGCCAATACCAACTAATTCTATCTTATTAATATTATTCATTTCTTCTATATATATGCATTAAGATTTAATTAAACTGATACTATACCCATTATCTATAAGGAATTTATAAAAATATTTCTTATGATCTATTATTATATAAGGACTTTCTTTACTCACATTTAAGGAAAACGTTGCCTTAGTTACGTTTTCTATTTTCGAAAATTTTATATCCTTCCGGAGAAACATTCTTTTGTACTACCTTTAAGTAACATTTATTTGCAATATGTCCTATTTTGCCACATTTATAGCACTTCATAATTTTTTCTCCAGTGCTGTTAGTTTGTTCCTTGTTTATGGTACATTTTGAAGCAATGTGTCCTAATTTTCCGCAATTGTAGCACTTTATTTGTGATACTTTAACGCTGAAATTTCGTTTCACATTTTGTCTGTAACTTATTCTGGATTCTTCATTCTGTGGAAATCTTCCAGCCTCTGACAACGATCGTGGACGACAATTGTTCACGTATTAGCCGATTTCTCCACCTAAGCCATTTATGAACGCATTTAAAACGATCTTAGTTTCAATGTTACTGACTTAAGTGTAGTAATTTCGGGGCACAGTGTGACAAAACACAAAATTAGGCGGTCATAATTCGATATTTTCGGAACCAGTAGAGATATTGATATGAAATTTTCCTAAAATATAGTTTTTGAGTTGAACTTTCTTTCAAATTTAATTTGAGCCCAATCGGCCTACCGGAACTACCCGAAATTTTTGTCCAAACATGGGGATTTTACAGTGGTCCCAAGATTACTTAAAAACTGTGATAGGTAGAAAGCTGAATTTAGGTTATTTAGGTTAGGTTATTGAATATCACGACAAATGATCTTATTCAAACTTGCGTTATTATCTAGATTCCAAAATTTTTTTATGGTTTTTCGCCCACTGCCACACCCACCCTCCATACAAAATTTTCATATTAAATCATTTATTATCGTTAAAAACACTTTTTGCACTTATTGGACTACATATAGCAACATAGCAACACAACTTTATGCAAAAAATGGGCGTGATCCGCCCATTAGTTCCTAAGTTATTTGCAGTTTTATGCAACTTTAGCGAAATTATGATTTCGTAAAAATTGAACCAACTTTAAACCCTTATAGCTTTTTTACTATTTATTCAAAAATGATCATTTATAATTTTTTTAAAGCTTAAAGTCCAATCGGCCTACCGGTAGTTCCGGTAGGCCGATTGGACTCAAATTAGATTTAAAAGAAAGTTCAAATTAAAAAACTATATTTTAGGAAAATTTCATATCAATGTCTCTACTGGTTCCGAAAATATCGAAAATATCGACCGCTTAATTTTGTGTTTTGTCACACTGTGCGGCGTTTTGATGTGAAAACAATAAACTTGTTTAATAAATATTAGGTATCCGTTTTAACATTAGCAAGCTGGAACATAATAAACATAATACATGGTGACCATAATATTTCCAATTGTGTTGTTTGATTTAAACTGTATAAATGCCTTGAAACAAATCTATTTCAGCCAAATTTGTTATATATTTTCCAAGTACAATATACATATGCCAACAAAACTAGATTATTATCATTCTTAGTTTAGCAATACCATACAATATTCATTTTAGATAAAAAAATAATTAAAGTTATGACATTATAAATATACAATGTATATATTATGTATACATCGTACGTTATAGCTTACTGAATAAAACAATTATTAGCAAACTCAATTCTAATACTAAAATATATATATACAACTGCATACTTATCTAAAACATTTTAACATTTTATAATTTCTTAGCATGGACATTTATCAATGGAGTCTCCATAACGCTTCTGGGCTGATATCGTTTCGTATGGTTGTTATTGCCATGATTTATACAGCTACAATAGTTTTAACTATTTGTGGTATTTTCAATGATGAAAAACTTTTAAATATTAATAATTCTAATGCGACTCATAAACCAGAGCAATTGGTAAGATTATTTTTATGTGATGAAAATAATTTATTAAAACTACTAAAGTTTTCTTTTTTTTGAATTTAGATCAGCAGTAGGATTATGTGCGTACACAGTAGTTTATCTATTACACGGAGTATTGCTGCAATATGTGGTTGGGTTATGATTGGCTTAAAGCCATACTTCGACCTTTTATATGAGGACTTAGTAAACTTAACTAGGCATGAACTAAAAATTACTTTTACGTACAGAGATAATACATGAAGAATCCATATTTTCTAATCTTATTTTAATATGAAATTCATCAATTTTAAATGAAGAAGTCATTATTCGTGTTGAGTGCTTTTAATTATAAAAAATACTATTAATGAAATTAATTATTTTAAAATAAATGTTTAGTTTTGGTACTATAATTTTTAATAATATGTAATATTGTTTTATGTGTTGATGTAGATATATATATGTACGAAATTAAATAAATAAAAATAAAATTTTTCACTTAAAAATAACACTATATGTTATTGTTGGAAAATATGACCTATTGATCGCAAAATAAATATAATAGTCATATAAATAATATATCAAATAATAGATTTAACAATTGCTAATAATATTAAATTATAGAAAAGTCGATCATTTAACTCGTTAACTCAAAGTGACACAGTCGTATTTGTAAATGGTTATTATTGTTATTCCTTATGAATATATATATACTGTTAAATCTTATTTTGTTTCGCCAACACATAACACTACTAAAGTAGTGATTAATAATCGAGTATGTACAACATATACATATGTATATAACTATATATAAAAGTAATAGAAGAGTGAGGTGCTGCATAATGAGAATAGTTTGAAAAGCAAAAAGACGTTACCTCAAAAAATAGAAATTGTGCGGCACAAATAACTTAGATTTATATAAGTTTATATAATACAGGAAGAAAAATAATTGTCGCTTGACTTGTTTTTCTCATTAAAATATTTGTCAAATTTTTTAAAATAGAACTTTTTTCGCCTCTCTTTATTTAAGTTAAGTCTCGAATGCCGCTGCTAATGAATCGGCTTCACAAGAATACGTATGATTCATGCATCTAGCATATACTCCAGTGAGTATGAATATACTCATCGAAAATGACTCGATCATTTGTAGCATTTGCGAAAATTTTGTGTGACCGCTGTTGTTTGCTAAGCAAAAATTTACGTGTATTTAGTTTTATGCTTTAGGCGTGTGTTGTTATTGTAAAATATGTGCATATATCAACTCATTCAAATCATCCATTTCACTTAGTAAATTATAGCCCTTGACCTTTAACAGGAACAATTGGTCCAATAACAATTGTTTCAGGAATAATTAAATGATTTCATCAATATAATATATCATTATTTATTTTAGGAAATAATCAGATAGAGTCGTATACACGAAAAAGAGAGTCAGAATGCATATAAATAAAAAACTGTCAATGATTTAAGTATGATTCGAGTGTTGAGTATTCGTTGCAATTGTCTGCTTTGCACATTTTTAGTGGCTTTAGCCGGTTGCTGTCTATTCAGATGATTATTGATTTGATAGTACAGTGATGAACTCGATCATGTTTGCATAATGCATGAAGACCCTTATTGTTATTCTTTTAAGTCTATTATTGTGAGCAAATGCGACAGCTTCTTTCTTATAGCCAAATGCTACTGTAAAATTTAATCAACACATTTCTTAAATGCTCGTATTCATAATTTTAGCTAACTCTTGCATTTCATTTTAGGGTCTTTTAAAATTATGTATTTTGGGTGCTTTTATGAAAATCGAAAGATGCTGATACATTCAATGCCACAAAGCTTAACACTAAAATACTGAAAATAAACATATCAAATGATGTAAGAAAACTTTGATGGCTAAGAAAAGTTAAAAATTCATATTCTTTTTCAGTGGAATTTGTTTCTGCCGACAATTAAATCGTTGGATACTTTTCAAAATTAGTTACATACAAATTGAATTTTAGAAGGGTTTGAACTTTTAAATGCCGATAAACTTTTGTTTTAACTATTACGATTAAAGTAATTTGCCAAGAATTATATAAATTATTTGTACTCATATAAAAACTTAAAAATTGATGTAAATACACTTGCTTAAAAATTATTGTTAGTATATAATTAGTTAAATATAGGTTAAGTAATGAAACAAGAATAATTGAAATTTTTTATAACCGAAGTGTTTATTATATTGTAAAAACACTAAATTAAAAGTCCTTCATAGGCCGCTAGAAAATTTTAATTTAAAACCGAAAGTAATATATAAAAATATTCTATATTGTAAATTTGCAATAAAAAAAAAAATCCAAAAATAAACGAAGATTTTTGTTAATTATATAAGTAATATTTTAAAATAATATAACAAAGTTGAGACAATATCAAATAAAATATAATAAAAATAAAATATAATAAAAATTTTCTCTTAATGTGTGTGTAGGCTGCTATTTTAATTCAAACCAGGGAATGGAAATAAACAGTAAAGTTTTCTAGCTGTACACTAGAAATGACAGCGACATATTCGACGAACTAAAATTGTGTAGTGATTCCGACATCTCCAACAAAATTTCTAATGTTCTCGTTAGTGTTCTTTTCCCGAAAGTAGTGAACACTTAAACAATCAGAAAGCAGTGAACTTTTGTAGCGATAATTTCCCGAAATGTTTTTGAAATGGGTTGTTTGTATTTTTAAAAATAAATATTGTGAATGCATTTATGATGCATTTTTAATATAAGGTATTACACAGACACAATATTTGATTGCGGATAGGTGATTTGTGTTTACCATACCAATAAAAAGCAAATGAGTAAATTGTATATAAAGTATAAAACAGTATAAAACAAATTCTTAAGAATTTCTGTGTAATACATCTAACGCTTAGATTATTGCGTAGGAATACGTAATGTGTATTGTAACAATACATATCATTTAATATGCTAATTTCTGCTAAGTATACATAAAAAATCAGGTAGAACTAAATAAATAAGTAAAACCATCTTAAAAAAAAGTGCTTCATGTCTTTTTAGATCAGTTCGAAAAAGTTCGCGGCAAATGGACGTGGTCTAAATTCGCTCCGCAAAATTTAACTAAATAGTAAATTTGGCTAAGTGGTAAATTATTTAAAGTACTTACAGTGTCTTCTTATTTGTAAATCAACAAAGTCTTATAATTATGAAAGTATTTTGCGCATGACTTGCTGAATTAATGGTGTAAACTGTGTGTGTATATATATTATGATAGAAATAAATCAGAATTTGGAGCTTTTATTGTGGAACATAATTTATATTAATAATAGTGGAACTAAATCTAATGCAAACAAATCTGATAGAGACAGATAGCTACAGTTTTCTATACACAAATAGATAAATCAGCTGATAGAGACAGCAAAAAAACCAAAAAACTTCTAAGCTTAAAAATAATGAATTAAAAAACAGTGTTGTAAAACTAGAAAACCAATCACACAATATATAATCGTAAAGTGTAATTGTGTAATTATTAATACGAGTAATTTTGTGAAAAATTTGAAATTAAACTTTTTGCATTAATATTTATCTCAATTCTTGCTGGACTGGAAAAGTGTTATATATCAAGAAATTTAAC